CAGAAGTGTATCTTGTTCCACTTTTACATAGTCCTGACATTTCCTATATTTCGTCATAAGGCCTCGGCATAATCCATATACATGTAGACGTCTTTTTGTACTTCCATCTGATTATTTTTCTACCGTTTATATAAGCAAAACACTACACCAATATAGCCGCCGTTCTGTCTGAAACTGAATGTTCGTTTTCGTTGACTTTTTGTTTATTAAAAAAAAATCAATTATATTTTTCAGGATTAACTTGGTTACGTGGCTCTAAGAATATAACGGTTCTGGAGTCAACGCACTTCCCTGCCTTTAAATTTGCGGAGACTAATCAAAACTAATGTTGTTAAGATCATCTGATTTATGTGTCCCTTCAGAAACGTCAATGCACTAATATACATGCATAGCAGATAAATTTCATCAAACAACCGGACTGCCTTCATGATTTTCATCTTTGAAAATGAACTTTTCATGCAGATCTGATCTGATTATCGGCGGTCCTCTGTCTTTTTTTACTACAGATGTTTGTCAATAATTTGATTGGAATAGCATTGTATTTTTAATCAGCCTTTCCTCGACGTCGTGAGTTGCGATGATTTGTTTTTGCACACTCGTTGTCAGTCCACATGCTGCTTACGATGCAACGACCAGCAGGGGCGGTGGAACGCTTTTCAAACTGGGGGGGGGGGGGGGGGGGGGGGGGGGGGAGGGGGGAGGGGGGGGGCAACACCAAAAAGGGGCACTTGCTTCAGGAAACGGGGCACCTTCCGTCGGTGTGAAGGTGGAGGAAAAGAATATGGCCCCGTTCATTTCGCTATACATAAACATGTTTGAAGAGGAACAAATTATGAATAAGTTAATTGTCCATCTTGCTCTTTGTGTTACTTTTAATACCTATAGTAATGTAGAGAGACCATTTTTTTATCGCAAGAGGGGCACTGTTGCTTTTGATGGCCATTTGTTCACGTGAAGAGCACTATTATTTTTAGGGGTCAGTTTTCCATCTTGAGAGGGGGCACAATTTTAATGTTGCGTGCGGGGCACTGATTGTGCTTTCGAGGGGCAGTTTTCCATCTCGAGAAGTTATCCCGAGAGGAGCACTATTGTTTTTGATGGCCAACTTTCCATCTCGAGAGGGGCACAATTTTATTATTGCGAGAGGGGTATTTGTGCTTTCGAGGGGTAGTTTTCCATCTCGAGAAGGAGAACCATCTTTTAATGCGAGAGGGGTATTTCTGTTTTTGAGGGGCAGTTTTTGCATTACAAGTGAGACAATTTTATTTGTAGCGCGATCAAATGCTTTCATTCGTGTGCGTTTGAGGGGCAGTTTAGTTTTCATTTCAAGGGGGCACAAATTATAACCGCGAGGGGCACTTTTGTTGGCCTGGAAAAATGGGGGGGGGCAAGTGCCTTTAGTTAGGCACGATGAGCGGCGTTGTGTGGGTTCCCATGCATGTTTTGTAAGTAAATATAATTTATGCATAAAATGTGACTTATCCGCGCCATCGAGTTCACATAAAAATCTCATTAGTCACACAGAGAGACGAAAAAGACAAAAGGGGCTCTTTACAAGATCCATGTCGTATAATGTGTGATGGACTTACATCACTTGTAAACGATTTGTATGGTGTGCAAAAGCGTCAAAACAGGACAAGCCTCGAAAATGAGTTTTTGACGCAGGTACTTTTAAATGACAAGTAGGGGGAAACGTGCTTCGGTCATGAAAACAGTCATAATTGTTGTAAAACTTTATGGTCTTGTTTTTGTTCATAACCTGTTCTTGGCTAGTCAGTTTAAGATAAATGTTATCATTTTAATTCCTCCTTTGCTCGTTCTTCCACTGCATTCCCTGTTATGCGCCTATCAAATGTCCCCCCCCCCCCCCGCGCAGCCCCAGGTCCGATGTCGGGATTTGGTCAGTTTTCAATTGAAACAATTGATAGGCGCATTACCTTCATCCACACTGGTGTACCTACCCCATTAATCCCTCGTGGTCTGTCCTCCCCTATTTATTCCGTCCTTCGTACGTTCATACTCATACCCACATTGGTCTGTCCCCTAGGGATACCTCGTTTGCGTTTCTCCTCCCAACCCTGCATGCTTGTGAGTCCCTACATGTTTGTTTCTTGTACCTCTGTCATTTGGCCTCTGAAGAAGATCTTGTTAAGATCGGAAGGTCAGGCCGCCGTAATGTTTTAGATTTATAAAACCTATGCGATAGCCAAAAAGGTATTTTTTTTTTCGTTTCATGACAAACGATAACATCCATCATAATTCGGCGTGGCACAATAACGCTTGTCAAAAATATCTTAATAGCCCTTATTGGTCTGTCATGCGTGCCTAGTGCATAGTTTGGTTCATTTGCAGAGCTGCATTCGCATCATTGAATTATTATTTGTAAGCCTTGTCTCGGTGCAACTTGCACTCGTTATGACCCATAATGGTTCCATATCGGTTTCTAACATGTCATCAGGCACGAATCAAGTTACTGATTGTTCTGATTAATGTTTTCATCGTTAGTTTTCATTTCTTGTGGTACCTGCATTCTACTTAATAAAATTTGATCTTAGCATTTCCTTCTTCCCCATTTGACGTTTGAATACATTCTTCTTCTACGAGTTTAATTTCAGTAATAGAGCGTAAAAGTCTCGCCAGTTGATTTTCGCTTTTCAGGTGAACGTCTTGGTACCAAACACTGACTAGTCTAGTCGCAGACTCCTGTGTTAGAATGTATCCAATTGCTCTCTGCGTGATCGATTAAACGGAAATTGAAGCCAACAGTTTTCATTTTACGATATAGGCATCAATTCGCAATATTTTCAATTATTTGTTGCCTGTTACACAGTCCGTCTATTGCCCTTAAGTGGATAATCTTTGTCAGGTCAGAAATGCTCCTTCACAATCATGGTGCCAGGAGGTACTGTATTCCCGTAAAATCTCGCAGGTTTTTGAGGTCAGCCTGCGCGCCCTATTATTTGTATCTGTATTTCACCACAAGGCTCGTGCCTCTTCGTACAGCAGTTTCTAACTGACGAGGCTATACATGTATTTTGTTCTGCAAATAAATCAATTAATCCTTTATTTTAAACTATTGCACAACTGTTTGAGTCGAGTTTTTAGCTGCGGAATAGCAGCTCAACTCATCATGTCTCTCCATTAGTTAGTCAAACGTTGACATCATGGATCTCCGTTAGTTAGTTCAACGTTGACATTGACATGTCTATTGCTCCTACATATTTTAACCGATTTCAACCCAACTTTGTCAAAAATATCATTTGCTCAGCCCAACATGTCACATGACTAAGCTGGGGTCAAAGGTCATCATGGGGTCACGGGGATCCAAATCCTCATTTTTTAAAACTCAAAATACTACTCCTTCCAGAAATTAAATGGCACAATCACGTGACTCGTGCATGAACACGAATTAGTTGGGTCGAATTAGAAACACGGACATTAAATGGATAGCTGTATTTTGTTTATTTTTCCGTGTCACCTCCTTTATCTTAGGAGGGGAGTATTGGTTTCTTCCCTTTTTGGCCTGACTCATTATTTTTAAAGCCACGTGCGCCGCGGACTGTAAAACAGGACAACCGAGGACGTGCTCTGTCACGAGGATACGCAGAAAGCTTTCGCCTGACTTCTCCCCGGCCTCTTTGATGTATTTTATGCAAGGAAGATATTTCGAAATTGAGAATAAGAAAAAGTCGCTTTGTGCGAGCTGCAGCTGTAGCTATATTGTGTGACGATTTGAACACAAATTGGTTCGACACAATCTTCCGCCTTTAGTTCAACTTCATGCACGTCTTCGCGGCAGTGCCTTAAGTATAGTGAAGCCCTGTTATTATTTATTCCTCCCCCGTTTTTAAAATTAATTCCTTAAAGATGTCCGTGCTCCGTGCTCTTAGAAAATAGATTTTTTTCCCCATTCCTACCAAATTTTCAGTGTTTGTTTGTTTGTTGGGGTGTTTGTTTGTTTGTTTCGAATTTTAGAAAGAGACAATTCAATAACTAAATGTCGGTGGATGTTAGGTTTGTTCAATGTCTCATTTAAATGTAAATAACTTTTATATTGCTAGGAAAATAGCAATCTGAAAAAAATAAAATATTTTTTCGGATACGTGTAACTCGAAATAGCACGGGGAATGTATTTTTAGGCCTAACAATACACTCAGTCGTCCGGACATCGCCAAAATGTAGTATATATATTAATTTTCTAGCCATATTTCAAAGGTCTGGTTCACAGAAATCCACATAATGTCTTTATTTACGGAGAAAATGTTAAAAACCAAGTTCCACTCAAATCCGGCGCTTACAACCGTTCGCTTACATTCGAGCAGTGAAAAAACCATCGCACTTTGAGCAAAAATATCACATTAGGCCTATGTGTGACAGTTCACTAAACAGCAAAATGTCCGAGATACATTTTGGGATCGTCCAGACTCTTTCTTTTGAACGATCTGTAAAACTAATGTCATTTCGTAGTAAACGCGCTCCGCGCCCAAATGGGCGCATTCCCTCAAAGGTCGCCTTTGATATAGAGTTTCAGCCTATACGCTTTTTTTTTTTTGGTCATGCGCAATCTGCTGACGGGCTTCACTCGTACGCCCGCCCTGCAAACGGGACGCTGGGAAGGGCTAATCTCTTCGAGCTCTCATTGGATAGGTTTTGCGTGACCTGTGACGTACATGCAGCACGTACAACTGCTATTTATAGCGCGCGCTAGCTGCATGCGAAGGTCATGATATGAAGTTACCCATAATGCCATTCGTATACTTCCATCACAAGATTCCGTGAAGCGGCATCCGTCAGCCTTTTCCAGCACCCTGTTTGCAGGGCGGGGGTACGAGCGAACCTGCAATCTCGTGGTTTAATATCGCATCGGTGATGGGTAGAAATATCAAGAAACAATTATTAACCAGGCAGTGTTCTCTGAGCATTTACGTGAAGGTACCTCGAGGGAAGATTCACGTTTACAAAAAAATAGCCGCCTCCTTGCAGTTACCGTTTTGATTTATATTCTCGTGTAAAGTCAAAGTAATGTTTGGAAGTCTAAACTTCTGTTGTTATCGGAATGTTATCGGAAGACGCTGACATTACTTTTTACGGCAGGCTTTATTTGAGAAACTACCAGTACCCTTTTGCTATATTTTTGTAACCAAATTTACGAGGTACGTGCTTTGGGTATTCTCGCACATTCACGTGGACAGTCACTAGAATAATACTTCGGATATCCAGACGTACATGCTTTGTGATTTTAGCAGCCGCAAGATGATTTTTCGCTGGCTAGTATTATTTCTAGTGGTTCCGAGGCCGGCGATCACCGGCATCATCCCGAGTGCAGCACACGCCAGCATGACCAGGCCCGGGCATGTTATCCTGGGGGCAAGCTTACCTATTCACGGCTGGTCTTCTGGACCTCCTTGCAGTGGCAAACTGTCCGACTGGGGGATCGAACTGTCTGCGATTCTGCTGTTCGCCATCGAAGAGATCAACAATCGTACCGATCTCTTGCCGAATATCACCATCGGCTACGACATTCGCGACAACTGCTACTCGGAGACTCTGTCGATATGGACGGCGCTCAGCCTAGCAAGCACATCCGAGAGACCCCAGGAGGATGTCGAGTTCACCAAGATCAGTCCGGCAGAGTACGGGAATCTTTTCTGCATCATAGGAACTCAATCGAGTGCAACTACAATAACGACGGCGCAGGCCGCCAGCCTGTATCGCATCCCTGTCATCTCTCCGTTCGCAACAAGCAACGAACTCAGCGACAAGCGCCGGTTCCCCTATTTTCTCCGCACGGTCCCTCCAGACAGTCTCCAAGCCGCGGCAATTGCCGATATTCTTCTACGATTTGGTTGGAAGTACGTCGGTCTGTATTTCCAGCTGAACTCCTACGGTGTTCACGGCGCCCAAAGCCTGCTCCACCTCGCGGAAAAACACGGCATATGTATTGCGTTCTCGGTCTCGGTACATTCTCAAGCAACAGATGCCGAGCTTCGGGACGCTGTGGGCAGACTGTCCAGCTCCCCCAAAGCCAGGGTCGTCATCATGTTTATGGATAGCGTGACAGCGAGTGGCATCTTGACGACAATAAGGGACGTTGGAATTCTACCCCACATCACCTTTGTGGGCAGCGACGCCTTGGCATTCCCCGAAGCGCTAGCAAGGTACAACGTCGAGCTGTCAATGTTACAGGGTAGCCTTTTCGTCCAGCTGCACTTCGCGAACATTCCAGGTTTCAACTACGACCGATTCTTGCAGACGATCAAACTCGGCAACCCGTGGTTAGCTCAGTGGAAGGCCGAGCGTAATTGCTCCGATCTTACGGAATGTCCGTTCCGTATTAGTGCAAATGATCACCCTGTGGTGGACGCCGTTTACGCGTTCTCGTATGCTCTTCATGATGCGTTGCACGATCTTTGTACCAATTACACCGACTGCAGTTCGACAGTTCACACTATCACCGGCCATGATTTCTTTCCGTACCTGCTAAACGCCACTTTTGAAGGGTTGGTTGGGGAGTACAGATTCGACAGCAACGGTGATCCTGGCGGGAATTACAAAATACTGAACTTTCAGATTCACAACGACACCTTTACAGCAACTGAAGTTGGGCAATGGAGCTCATCAGCAGAGAATCCCCTTCAGCTGAACGCAAGTGCTTTGCAGTGGTATCAGGACTCTCCAGATCCACCATTCTCATTGTGTCGAGAGGTGTGTCCACCTGGTTTCATAGAGGATCCACTGGAAGAGAAATGCTGCTACGGCTGCCGGAGATGCCCTACTCATGCCATCGTCAGCGGCAACTCGTGCATGCCGTGTCAGAGGGATGAGTGGCCCGACCAGAGCTTTAGACACTGCCAACTCATTGTTCCGACGTCTCCAAGTTGGAGTGAGCCCACGGTTATTGTCATCCTGATCCTTTCCGGCCTCGGACTGGTCCTTTCCTTTCTTGCAGCCCTGGGACTCTTCCACTACCGGCACCACGTGCTGATCAAAGCCGCCAGCCGTGAGCTGAGCAGCATCAACATCTTGGGACTCACTCTAGCCTTCCTTGCTCCTTTAACGCTCCTAGCTCCGATGTCGACAGTCTCGTGCCGTGCCTCGGAGGTCATGGTTGCCTTGTGTTTCACCCTGACGTACGCACCGACTCTGCTGAAGGTCAACCGGATCTACAGGATCTTCGAAGCCGGGAGGAAATCCAACAAGCGCCCTCGGTTCACCGGTCCTCGTGCCCAGCTTGCGCTTGCACTTATCGCTACTCTGCTAATGGTGAGTGTGACCTATGAATTTTCACCATACATCCGATCCCTGTCTAAAACCTAAATTGAAGACTGGGATAAGGTATTTCCCTCGTAGACCGAGTCGACCTTTTTTGGTTAGCACACCTTTTCAAAAAATGGTATATTGGGACGGCAAAATGATGAGGCCGGCCCTCTTATGAAAGATGACGAGCACTGGGGTATACTGAATGGATGAGCAGAGCCAAATAAACCACACTGCAGGACGCACTTGCTTATGATAAAATATTCCTGTTCATCTTTCAATGAACAACGCCAAGCCTCAGTCCTATAGGGGGAAAACCCATTGCCTGGAATATAACAGAAACATAAAACAACTCGGTAAGGAAATGTACCTGCGACTGTACACAATACAGGGTGAGTAAAAATGTCCCTTTTGCACGTTCTTGTCTCCCACAAAAACGGGAAAAGTTACCCATTTTTTCTCTTCGGCCAACATTCGGTCTGGGTATTGACCACAGTCTGTAAAAGTGTCACTGATATTCAGTCATGCATGAAAAAGGATATAGGCCTTTCTTTATGACTACCCAAAAACACTACCAAGACGTTTCCTATATTTTTAGGGATATGTAACGTTATTTAATGGCCAGCATACTGCAAGGCAGAACATACATGAATAAATGAAATAACTTTTCAAAGCAGCCATAGCAAGGCCGCAGTTTACTGCTGTCCAAAGGGCCTTGATGGTCAGAACGTTTTATGAAACAGGTATAGGGTAAGCTACAAGACGATAGGTTAATTTGAAGAACACATTCCGGTGGTGCGGCAGCCTAGGCTCAGACAGTGCGAAAAAAATGTAAAATACGGACAAAATGAAATATGCAAGAACCTGAACAGGACAGTGACAATGTGAACCTTATCTATAAATTCATTTTGAGGTTCAATTAATGTAATTCCATGTAATGTATGTTCTGTTCTGTTATTCCTTTTATTTCCTTCATTGTCCATGGAGGCCCATTATTGTCAATGTGTATATAGAAAATGGCCTTTTCTGAACATTGTGTCGGTAGTGTTTTCGAGTACATGTAGTCATAAAAAGGCCTGTATCCTTTTCATGCATCGCTGGAATATCAGTGAAACTTTTAAAGACCGTGGTCAATACCCAGACCGAATGTTGGCCGAAGAGAAAAATTTGGTACCCTTTCTCGTTTTGGGGGGAGACAAGAACGTATCCAAAGAGACATATTTTCTACTCCCCTATGTGCATACTGTTCATGTAAACTGTACAACACTTACTGACCGTGCAGCATGTATCACAAACACTGAGAGACTTTCACATAAACAAACTTCATTTTCTGTCATAAATTTGTGCAAATAACGTAAAAAGATGCTCACTTGGGGTTTTTTTTTTGGGGGGGGGAGTACCCTATCCCACAGTGAACATGGCAGTCATGGCGAAGCCATGCTAGTGCACACAATAAGTGAAAAGTGTGACAGAAATGTATGGCTGTGCTCAGTGGAAGGAATCTTCCAAAAAGACCGAGAAAGTATAAAATTTCCAGGTGCTGCCGAATCACTCGTCTAAATATTTACACGCTATGGCAAACGCCTCTTTACCTGTAAATGTTCTTTCAGACAATGAACATTCAAGTAATAAGCTTGCAATTACATGTATACAATATTTAGATGGACAAGTATACAATTATGCAATAATGATCCCGAATTAATTGCAATGGATAGACTTAAGTACTAACTTCTCATGTTGACGAAGACGACCGAAGCAGCTATCAATCGTAATTAAACAATAGTGATTTTGTTCCCTTCATTTAAGTTGAGTCCTCCCTTTCTTTCATTTTTCCCAGATGGTGATCTGCATCTCTGGGACTCTTATTAGTCCAACAGTCCCAGCCAAATTATATTTCAGTCCTCCGACCGGCTACATCGAGGCCTACTGTGCGTTCGGCTACGGCTCAATGGTATCCACTTTTTGCAATCTGCTGATAGTCCTAGCCTGCTGCTACTACGCCTTCAAGGCGCGCAAGGTACCCAGCAACTACAACGAGTCCAAGTTCATCGCCATCAGCGTGTACTCCACGCTGGTCTTCGGCATGGCGGCCGTGCCCGTCTACATCACGGCGGCTACCGTTCAGCAGAAGGTAGCCACGCTGTGCGTTGCCATACTGCTCAACTCCTTCCTGACGCTGTTCTGCGTCTATCTGCCCAAGCTGTACGCCATTCGCTTCGGGGTGGACGTCCAGGTTTGCGAGTGGAGGAGTAGCGGTGTGGTTTCGGCCGACAATGTTTCAGCGGCGTTACCATCATCATATGCCGATGCGCAACAGAGGAATGCCTTACCCGTGGCGAACTGAGCCTCGGATCAGGAGAGGTGATTTTTGGTCACGATCTTTACTGTAAGCCTACTTTCTGGGTCTCTTTTAGCCTGCATCTTACATGAGTTCCTAATAACCGAACAAAAGATCACAATTTGATTAGGCATTTGAGCCTGCTGAATAAAAACTATTTGTGCGCACATCTCTGTTGTTTTTCTGGACACCAGAGAGCGCTGACTTATATCAATTACAGCACTCACAATGTACAGTTAGGAAGTCTCCGAAGAAATTAAGGGGGTCAACTTCTGGCCTCTGTATGTGGCAGTGTTGTAGTCGAGTCACCAACGTCGAGTCCGAGTCCGAGTCCCGAGTCACAAGCCTCGAGTCCGAGTCCCGAGTAACAAGCCTCGAGTCCGAGTCTGAGTTTCGAGTCACAAGCCTCGAGTCCGAGTCCGAGTCACGAGTCAATTTTTCTTAGTTGTTCACAAAACTAATCAAATTTTAAAAAATATTTTTCAATCATCCATTCTGTCTTTTAAGTAAATCCCAGTGTGTATAGTTTACCTTGTGTGTGCACATGTTGTTTAGACCCGAAATATGTTTTCCTTTTAATTCCCATCCCAAAAAACCTCCTCCATCCCTTCCCTCCATGTTTTATCATCCAAATATTATTCATCTATGATCCTTTTCCATCCCTACGTTATTTTTTTTCTTTTAATGAAAATGCGTGACTCGAGTCACGAGTCACCAAGCTCGAGTCCGAGTCATCATGGTCGAGGTCGAGTCCGAGTCCGAGTCATTTTTCAATGTGACTCGAGTCGAGTCCGAGTCAAGAAAAATGTGACTCGAGTCCGACTCGAGTCCGAGTCCTGGACTCGAGTCCTACAACACTCGGTATGTGGTACTTGTTTTTGCAATCTACAGTAATGGGGGTTTTCCAATTAGACATCAAAAGAAGTAGCTTCTTGAAACCTTTGTGCATAATGTTTGCTGACAGAATACCTATCTCACATTAACAACGAAAGACCTCAAAAAGTCTACTACAGCCAAAAAAACCTCGAACTCTGATATTTTGATGTTGACGCAGCAAACGACAATATTCTTAATAAATGTTTGAAAAGAGCCGCGCGGATGATCCTGAAGTGTGCATTCTTGACGCCTTCAGCCGATATGTTTGCTAGTTTTAATTGGATGTCATTTGCTGAAAGAGTAGAGTATAAAAAGGCTATTCTTGTTTACAAATGTATAAAGAAAATTACTCCTTTGTATATGACAAATATGTTTACGCCACTTATTCAGATTCGTGAAACGAGACAATCCACTGATATGGCATTGAGGATTCCTTTTGCAAAAACACAATGTTATGCCTCAAGCTTTGCTGTAACTGGTACAATCATCTGGAATAATTTACATGTGCAGTTGAGAACCATGACTTCACTAGCCTCATTCAAATCTGAACTACGTAAAACGTTCAGTCAGTAATACTATTTCTGCAAATAATTATTTGTGTATTTGCCGCTGTCTTCTCTGATTATACAAATCTAGATATGTGCTGATCTACGGAGTTAACAAACTTGGTTGCCATAATAATAAGAAGATAATAAGGAGCCGGATGGGAATTTCCCCGTGTTTTCTCCCAAAAGGGTTTTCGCGGGGTTTTCGCCCCTCCCGTAATCATCGAATATAGTTACAGCAATATTTTTTTCTTGATGTTACAAGATAGATCCAAATTGTTCGTGTTCACTGAATCAACTTTATAGTAAAGCATTCATACTGTACATGTAGTTATAATAGTTTTAAAATATATTGTATTTATAATATTTGCTTAACACCTATGCATTATTCAAATAATGTTTTATCTCACTGCATTGAATTTTATTGTATTTGTAATGTATTGTATAATTATACATGTTTGTAGTCATTATTTATTGTATGCAGGGCCCCAATGGAAACCAGTTTTAAACTGTTTGGGCATACCCCTGGGTAAAGAAATGGAATAAATAAATATAATATATGAAATAAATGATTTGATCATGAAAATTTACATAAGCACAAAAACCAACATGCCTCGAAAAAGTCATAAACTAACGATACGAAGATCGAAAACACTCATCTGGGAAATACTCAACTGCTTTAATGAGAAAAACCTACATTGGCCCCCATTAATTATAAATCAGCTGATACTGGTTAGCATTGGAATTGACTCAATGAAAAGTCCCTGCAACCGTCCTAGTTTAAATGTAATCTCGGTCCAGACAGTAAGTTAAATTTTCACGTAAGCACATGCAGTGCTCTAGATTTTTTTAGGTCACATTAAACACAATTTTACGTAAATATTCCTCTGAGCGGTTCTGCTATACGAATGTTGCCTATTGAATGCGATAATACACTGCATGTATTAACCCTCCTACTGTTTGAACAGTCATAGACAGTCAAAAATTCCATTCACTTCCCCTGCCATGCCTTTTACACAGGCCAGTCACCAACAGTCAGATCATACTTCAAGAAAGCACTCTGACTAGTCCAATTTAGCCAACAGACAAAAGCAGGCAAGAAGACAACTTGCTTATCAATCACCTACAGCCAAAGGCCCAAAGCCATATAGCTGTATCAAGTTACATAAACAGTCACAGCCAGTCAATCCTGCTTTATGTAGGCTGGGAGCTCTTAACTGTTGAAAACAGTCACTTGATTGTTTTTGACTGAAAGGGCAACTTTGCTCCAGGTTTCTTTTCAGACTGACAGTTTGTGAAGCCGTCAATCTTGATTCTAAATGGACGATGTACAACTCGCGCACTATGATCTCGCATTTCGATAACACATATAACTCTGCTCATGTTACGATCGATCTTGTCTCTGTCAAAAGCGAGTATATTTGATAAAGTCCAATTACTGTTGCATTCAACTCTCTCTGATTAAATCTGCAGTGGTTTTGGACGTTTCCACAGGCCTAAAGGTACATTAAGAACTCATCACCACAAAAAGTTCAACTGTGTTTTTGATCGATCTCGACTCTGACAAACACAAGTTTATTGGATTAATTTCCGTTTAATGTTGCCTTCAATTCTCTTTTTATCAAATTTGTGGATGCTCTCTGATCAAAAAAGATAATGCTTAACTGTGGTATGATTGACATTGTGTCTGCTGAATAAAACTTTATGTGATATATGTCCGTTCTTAATGTTGCATTCAATTCTCTTTTATTAAATTTGTGTATTTTTCGGTCGTTTCTATCAATATTGTAATTTAGAACTCTTGCGCTCTGATAAAAAAATAAACTGTGGTACGATTGACCTTGTGTCTGATAAATACCAGTTTATTTGATAAATGTCCGTTAATGTTGCCTAATTCAATTCTCATTTATTAAATTTGTGGATGTTTTGGTGGTTTCTTCAAATGCGCTCTGATTAAAACCAAATGCTCAACTGTGGTATGATCATGTTTCTATTAAATATACCAGGTTTGTAGATAAAATGAATGTGTAGAATATTATACAAACAAAATTGCTGGAGTACTTTAATTGTTACGAACTACACTAATTAGTACATTGCCTACACATAGGGTCTGTTATTGAATTTTTGGTCGTATATATTAATGTATTTATTTATATTTAACTCTTGCACTTCAATCGCAAACAACGCCCACAACTGCGTTTTGACTGATCTCGTCTCTTTAAGGACAAAGTTTATTTGATTAAATTACGTCCGTTAATATTGTTACCTTCAATATTTTTAAAAGTAGATTTGTGGCTATTTTGGTGGTTTATATTAGCGGTTTTTCCTTATACAAGGTGAGTCAAACAGAAAGTGACCCGATTGATTTTTTTCTTAAAAAGCGACCAAATTTGAAATGCCAATGAAGTATATCTTAACTTACAGCATGTTCTTCCACTCATCTAAAAAAAAAAAAAGAACTACTGAAATTGATAAATGCTATCAGACGTTATGCACGTTTTGCTAGAAGAGCCAAGTTTTATAGCTGTCCACGGAATGCCATTGGAAGCTATTGAGCTGAGTGAGAATTACAGATTACACACGAGCATTCAAATACAAATGAGATTTAAATGAAGACTGAAACAGTATTTTTACTCTCAGATTTTTTGTTCTAAATATGAGGAACGTGTCATTTTTTTTCCTGAAATATTAATAGTGATTTTGGTTTGTTTACCTTTGCAAGTTCTCCCCCATTCATCGAGGTGCATGGGAAAATGTCCATGTTTCATTGTTTTTAATAGGTATATTCATCAGTTCATAGAACGATAAATAGTCAGTGGTGGACAGCTGGATTATGTGATCTTCATAATAGACGTAACTTGGGAACAGAGTGTACAAATTACGTGAACAGTTCACAGTTACTAGTCCATAACATGTACTTTATGCCTCTGGGTTTTTTTTTAAGAAATGGAGCGAGTCACATATTATTTGTTGTCTAATTCAGTCACTTTCTTTTATGACTCACCCTGTTCAACGCGCAATATATTGCACGTTCTGCCTTTCAATTTTAATTTGCTGGTATCTCCAAGCCTATATGCAGGGGCTCTTGAGCTCGGTAAACCTCTCTTACAATGGACCCCATGAATGCACTAGGTATACCCTGTTCAACGGTTACAGAAGAATGTTAGAGGAGACTCACTAAGGGGACTCTTGAAAAGCATTGCCGAAGTGACGCCTCACGCTCGTGCCGAAGACCAAATGGATTTTGTCTTACCGTTACGGCCTGAAATCCCAGAAAAGTCCATGTTTTGGATTGTTTACTTAATATCCTATTTCAAAGGTCTGGTTGAAAGGAAACAAACCTAATGAATACCGTTCCCGAGAAAAAGACGGAAAAAAGGTTGTTTACAGCGGACGCGACAGAAATTCTGTGGCATATATACCCATACGTATTTCAAGTCATGTCTTTTCAATGCAGCGTACACGTTGTGTGTTTGGTACATAATACACATAATACACGCCCGCAGAATGCGAAACACTGTGAATGCGGCTGCATTCACAACTAGCGCTCACAGCTCGATTTTTTTTCGGGGACAAAATTGTCAC